AAAGAAAACATGATCCCCTTGAGTAAACTGACTGGTTTATTTACCTTGTCTAGCCCCAATACTGATGCCTTGGGATAATTTCAATAAGAAGTGCATTCTGGAGGCATATTCCTTAATTTTAGGCTTATGACTTATAGGTGTTTTAGCTTGGATAGGCAGGTAAAGTGAGTTTCTTCAGAGTGCAGTTCCACATTGATTTCTCCAAATGCAAAGTTAGCTTAGAGAAACTCCTGTATTCCTCATCCCTTCTCAGTTGCACTCATGCAGCTGATCACATGGAGTCCATCTGAAAACTAGCTCAATTAAATGATCTGAAATTAAAAAATCAAAACAGTATAAAAGCTAAAAACTACCTGCAAACCACACCAGAACCACCACTGTACTGTTAGTGATCTGCCAGGAGATGAAAACTGAAATGAGCATGTTCATCACTTTTTCCAAATGCTGACCAATACATTTAGTCATCCTAGAAGAAAGAGCACCCAGAATAGTTTCTTAACCTTTTTGTCCTATTACTTGACGCTCAGAGAAATTTTCCTTAGATTCCAGGTAGGACTGACAGTTTGGGAGAACTTCTAACGTCTTGCTAGATGTTGATATATTCCCAGAGTATGCCCTGTGATTTTTTTTTTTTTTTCTTTTTCCCCCTTTTAGTGTCAATCTGTCGTTTGGCATGTATGACCTCCCTGGCTTCTGTCATCATGTTGGTGGTAAATAGAGGAAGTAATTGGACTGTGACTGACTAGTGTTGATTGCAGTTTTATACATGCATGTTGTAACTGTAGTGTGTGTGTGATATATGAAAAAAAAATAACGAAAGATGGTAGGAATCACTCAGGATTAATTTGGGATTTGTTAAGGTGGGGGAGGATCATAGAGAAGGAATATTTGAACTTTTACTGCAAGGAACAATCCAGAAGAGTGAATCTTTGAATTCAATAGCTGTTGATTTATATTGGCCACAGTTAAGCTCAACTAGATGATGCTTAAAACAGATTACTTGTGTGGATTGAAAGAGAGAAGGGTTTTAAATGTGGAGGTTGAGACCTCCATGCAGCCTTTCCTGTGTCAGTAGGGTAATGTTTTCAACTTTACACATTACATGACTGAAGACTGAGCAATGTTTGTGTGCTAGAGTAGTTGTAATTGCAGCCTGTTTTATCTCCAATTTCTGATAAAAAGAAAAAAAATAAGTTGCTAGAATGTTTTGACTCTTGTGTCCTAGTCTTTCTCATGCCTCTTATTAGGGCATAGTCTGTATTAGTATTTGCTTATATGAAGTGTTTCCAACCAAAGCAAAGTGGTGCCTAAATTGTCAGTTCTTTAGAGTCGGTTCAATGGCAAGATAGTGGTTATTTTGCTGTGGCTCATTTCGGAGCAGTGTTTGTCAACTAAGGATTTATCTGCCAAGTGACAAAAAACAGCTTCTGACATTTGAGGCAATTGCAGGTACATGAGCCATATTGCTGAAGTCAAAATCCTACATTGATCCTGTATTTTGGGATCTAGCTTCCTGCCTTCCTCCTTTTTTATTTTAAAGAGTACATGGTCATATAACCTTAGCAGCAAGCACAGGAGAACATGGATGCACAGAAACATTTGACCTGCTGAGGAAAGCTAATAATCTATTCAATCACAAGTTCTGTAAGGAGAAGTGAGTTATTTAATGACATCTTGTGTTTGCTTCTTGTCGTTTATATGATGAAGTCTCCTCTGGACTTTTCTGTTCTCTGTGGGGGCGTTTCAGAGGTGCTCCTGACAGTTAGGTTACCTTGGTTTGTTCCCAGCCCAGCAATTTTGAAACAGCAGTGTGGAAACAAATCACGTGTGGAATACGTGGTGAAGTTTGAAAAAGGCTTCCTGTAGTGGAAAGATAAGCCTTGATCCTCGCACTTGATCTTCAAGCAGTTGCCCTCATGTGGCAAGCTCTTTTAAGCTAACCCTGTTTCCTATTGCAGTACATCTGTGTCACTGGAAAAATATGTGTTTAGGAGGAATGCATGAGGTAGGCAAACCAGGTTACATCATCCTCAGAGCCTGTAAGGCCGTGACTGCTTCCTAGCTCATCTTGAATCTTGTTGAGGGAAATCCAGGTAACTTTAATGTTACTTTCATCCAGTTCATGCTCACAGAGAAGGTTGAGGGCTCTTGAAAACTGTATTCTGTTTATCAGATTTGTGCCAGGTGACATCAGGAGGAGGTAGGTCAGAACACTTGAATCATCTTTAATTCATGAAAGTAGTAACTTAGAGCACTTCTGAAGTGTCAGTTACTTGTGGTAGGAGTGGAATATGCAGCTACTTATATAGCCAACACCATAAGCCTTGCCTTTGTAGTTGCATATTAAAGTTCTGGGTACATCAAATGATACCTCAAAACTTGTTTGTTGGCTGGGGGAGAGGTGTTCGTGTCCCTTTGTCATAGGTGATAGTGTGATATGCGTTTATGCAGGAGCAGTACTGCACAAAACCCATGTTTGTTCAAGTACTGTGGAGAGCATCAAAACTCATAGGCATCGGTGGATGAGTGCGAAACCTCCATCTCTTAAGATTCAGGTGCCTCGAGGTTTTTTGTGCTTGTCATGTCATGGCATTGAATTAGTCTCATTTCCAACAGAACATAAAATAAAAATGGAGGAGAGAAAAGCGAAGCAGAGGTGGTATGAACTAAATAGAGTTCTGTAATTCTCAAAACTCACTGTTGTAAAGTAGCATAGACAGGGTTTAATGATTTTATGTATCACTGTTTTACATGTCTCCTTTTGCTTATACTATGAGGTGATAATGAAGTAGCTATAATTCCATTTTTACTTACTTTTCTTCTCTCTAATCTGTCATGTAAATCTTTTTGATACATGGAACATGAATCTTTGAATGAAAGTAATCAACCTCAGTAGCAGAGTACTCTGTGCAGTGACTTGTTGCCAGTAAGACTTTCCCATCCTCCAAGAGGCAAGCATTCAAATTACTGATCAGGTTGCATCTACACTGAATCAAACAGAATTCATATTCATGAGACTGTTTTCTCTCTTGGTGTATGCGTTGCCTTAACCAGGCATAAGTGAACTTTGATTTTTTTTTCAGGACATTTATTTTCTGTATTTTACAATTAATACCTTGAAAGCTCTGACCAAAGAAGAGGTGATGGTGAATTTTTATTGGCTTGAAGTAAGAGTCAGGGAAAGAAGAACTTCTCCTGTTGCAGAAGGGAAAGTGCTAAAATACAAGCACACTGTTTTCTCGCATTCATTTGCACATCCTGGAGTTCCAGAGCTGTCTGGTATTTCCTCTGCACTGCTGGTAGTTGTTCCTCTTCATCCATTTCAAAAAAGTTTGTTCTCCAGCCTGGTCCCCAGATTCCTTCATGTTGTTACCCAGTTCCTGGGATGGCACTGGGAGAGGTAGCAGCATAGGCAGGGTTTCAGAGGCTGCTGCTACTTGTCTGTGTTGCAGAAGTACCATAAGAGAAGATACAAGTTCATGGGCCATTGATATTTGCTTTGTGCTAGTGCTATTACCACTGTCATTTAAGCAATGACGTTAGAAAAGAGCATCTTTTTGTAGGGAAGAGTGATGCAAGGCAGGGCCTTGCAAGGTGACTTGGCCTATTAGATATTGGTAAAGAGCTGTTAAAATGTCCTGAAAATACAAGTGTTTATTGTCAAATAATGATGAACAGAGATCTTGAGTTCTGAGTCTTTAACAAGACGCAAAACCAGCAGTTCTTTGCATGTTGTGTATTCAAGGTGTATATTTTTGTGTGTGTTACCATGTACCATTTCTTTACTCATTGGAGACTGCTGCTCTTTGAGGCAGGAGAGAGACAGGTAAGGAAAACAGAGCACTGTGAGAGTAACACACCACACTCATGCTTGAAGTGACATGTTAAGTCACAGTAATATTATTAAATTGCTATAGCTAAAATAGGTTTGGGTTTGGGTATTAAGATACATAGCCAGTGGACCTGCTGACAAGGGACTCCAGTTGAAGACGTGGGAGTTCTGTACTGTTTTCATCCACGTAAAGTCTCAATGTATTGTCTTTCTCTGTAGAAAGATCTAGATGTGCATACAGCAAGTGCAGAAGAGGCTACTTCTGGTTAATTCACCTAGCTTTGCAAAATAATTTTTCAGGTTGATATAGTTAATTATACCCACCCCCCAACATTAAATGTATTCACAGTCCTGACAGGATTTGCACAGAAGACTGCATTAAAATATCAGAAGTCTTTAAGACCTGTTTTACTACTGAAAATTCTCAGTTCCACAATTAGGCACTATGTGATTACAGTACTTTGTCATTTAATTCCTCTTTGTTCCTTCTTTACTTTGCTAATGTATTCTGTAGCAAAGTACCTTATTATAAAGCTACTTTTGTTGTTTCTCTGTGTTACGTTCACATAGACTTCTATCCTGATCCTAGATATTAAAAGTGATACTCCAGTCTTTGTTTGTTTTGTTTTGTGGCTTGTTCTGTTTTGCCATTAATAAGTTCATATGTTTAAGTTGGAGATAACTGGGACATCAAAATACATGTAAACAGAATGGTTACAAATGTTAACACTGGCTTACTGTCTACAAATGGTTAATAAGTATTATTAATCCCTTAATAGGTAGGAATTCAGTAAGATCAAAGTAACATTTCTAAAAGATGCAGAGTTTTTAAACTTTCTGATGTGTAGTTGTTGGGGGTTGAGTTTGGGACTTTTAAATCTGCTCTTGGATTTTGATGGGTAAGGGACTAATGAGTTAATAGACTGCTTTAATGATGCAGATGGCACCTTGAAATATGTCCTAATGAAAATATTGACTGGGCAGAACAATGATATCCTTGTTCCCATTTATAATCAGAAAATGCCTTAGGCTGGAGACCATATTAATTAACATGACCTTAAACAAAAGTTTGACTTAAGTATTAATGCACAAATGCAAAGCCTAAAAGAAAAACAGTTCGGTGGCAGTTCACAGTCCCACTAAAGAAGTGTAGTTAAAACATCCACAGCTTTCTCATCCTGTTGGCTTCTCTGAATGCTTTAATTGTACTTCATACTTCAAATCTATTGCTGATTTTATTTTTTTCTTCTTCTCTGTTCTCTTTCAGAAAGATGAGGTGTACCTCAACTTGGTGCTGGACTATGTTCCTGAAACAGTATACAGAGTCGCCAGACATTATAGTCGGGCCAAACAGACACTCCCTATGATTTATGTCAAGGTAGGTAACTGGTAGATGTGATTAGTTGAAGAAGGATATTAGAAGAATAGACTCTGTGGATACCTCTTTTCTGACATAATTGGTTTTCTGAAATTTTTAGGAGCACATACATCTTGAGGTAAGGAAAAAAATGCTAGAATGAGTATTTGTTATGGGGAATGAAGAATAGAGGCTAGAGGCTTAAAGCAGGCATTGCTGATTTCTCACTTTACAAAAATCTTGGAATGGGTGGGGTAGACCATGTGGGGGAGTGTTTTGTTTTTGAAGCAGCTTAGACATACACTGACACCAGCCAGGTTAGCAGCCTCAGTTTCCTGAGATCATGAAGACACAATGTATGAAGATCAGGAACTGAAAGAGGGTGTCAGGAAGAATAATCTTGTCTTATCTGTTATCTTCCCCTTTTGCTGGCATATGACTAAGAGTGTGTGTGCTTTTGTTGTGGGTATGAAAGGCATATTTCTGTCCCCACTTGGAGCTGATTGACTCTTGTTTTGAAGAGCTACATGGGGTAAGATGCTTGTGTGCACGTTGTAGCCTCCAAACCTCAATTAAGTTTTCTGAATCTTTTGTCATCTTACACAAAGTGCTTAAAATGAATAAAATTTCATTTTTTTTGTCAAACATGAGACCTATATGGGACTCATAGTTCCATTTCGTATATTGTAGTGACCACAATCCACATGCTAGTGAATGATCCTGTTGTCACATGGCATCAACTTGGTAACATGGCATCCATATAACATTAAATGGAAATTAGCAACAAATATTCCTGATTTGTATTGATTTCTCCACACTCCCCTTTAAAAGTGTAATGCTTAATGTGAAGGTGGGCTTAAGAAAAAAACTTTAATTTGATTGAAAGAAGATGAAAGTTACAAAGGTGAAAGCTACAAATAGTAATTATTCCAATAACAAAGTCTTGTGGCATAACTGTATATGCATAAATTGTAAATGGCATGTCTCCACAATAGCCAGCACTGGTGCCTGTTTTTAAGAAAACACAGAATTTTATCATCCAGCAGTAACAATTTCTACTGCAAGATCACTCTGTTCTGTTGGTGGAACAGCATGTCTTCAGATTGTATGGTCCCCAAAATCCGTTAGCTTAGCTTTTGATAAATTGTTTGTATCTCTTGTCAGTACTCTTACCCTAATTGCTCTTCATTATAGGAACTGGGGAAAAATTGTCCCTGCTTGTAGTTTGAGAGAAAATTCTACTTCAACTCTTTCATCTTGCTGCATGCTTGGGACTTCCTATTCCATGTAGCCTGGAAGGCTGTTATAACTTTTCTGGCAAGACAAGCCTTTCTCATAATCCTGTATTTAAAAAGATGGTGTTACCTTGGTGTCATTAAAGCTGTTGTAAGTTTCCAGGCAGCTTGGCTACGCAAAGGTCAGATCATACCTATTTGTTCACTTCTGATTGATACCTAGGCAGGCAGAGAGCTTCCCTGGGTAACAAAGAACTGTAGGGAAGGTTTTCTAGTAATCTTTTTGTTAATTTTTAATGTAATTTCTAACATGCTGTAAGAAATTCTTGGAAATTTTGGGTATGCTGTGTGGAGATGAAAGGCATACTTTGTAAATCCCACATGTGTTGACTTGACTCCTGAAGTTAGAACAATCTTTTGCTTTTGCATTATTTTGCAATACACTTGCACAAGACATATTTAATGTGTCTAGATCAGACAATTCAGAAAACATATTTGTTTGCTTTTCTTCGTGAAGAGTTGTGATTTTCAGAAACAAATATGAAAACTGAAGACCTAGAACCAAAATTCAAGTGATTCTCTTCCCTTTCCTACCTTCCCTGCTAAACAAACAATGAAAAACAAGGGAGAGAGAAAGTGTGAAGACAAAGATAGCAGTGGAAGTGAGGCAAACATGACCTGATATCGCTATCTAGCAATTGCACCCCGTTTTACAGACCGTTAAAGGTCAATTATGGAGAATGTGCTTAAAAAGGAAGGCATGGAGGTGCATCTCCAGTACAATGTCCTGTCTGTAGCTTGATTTGAAATGAAACCTTGTGGGGGACACAACAAAGATAACAAATAAATTGGCAACCTGTTGTCAACCTTTAAAAAGGGCTTCCCGTGCCTGTATGACTGTATATGCTATACAGCCCTAATTGTATCCAGCAGCTCTTTATTTTCTGTAGCCAAAAGTGTGTAGCTCCAGCAGCTGAACATCCTCCCCTTGCCCTATGGTCTTGCCCTGTGAAGCTCTTGGCTTCGTAACATCTCCCTTTGCTGTATTCCCTCTCACTAAGGGATTAGCTGGCCTTGGAAAGGGGACAGAGAAAACTCTCCCTGAGCATACTGGTTTGCTGTGCCTTGCATAAAATTATTCTGAATAGTTGTTTTTATCTGCCTTCTCTTTTTGCCCAGAGATTTGAAATTAAAATGAGTCTATCCCCTCACCAAGAGAAACTGGGAGATTCACCCAAGTGACAGGCTGAGACACTACCATAGTCCTTGGGCAACATTTAATACATTGTTAATAACTTCATCAACTAAAGGGGGGGGAGGGGGGTGGGGCATTTTTTTAGTTGTGGGGTGGTTTTATTTTAATAAACTGGAATACTTTATTTCTATGAAGAGGCTGATTTGTAAAGCAAACTGCAACACCTTTATTTTGTGTATGTTTTTTATGACTGCCATTATTTATAAATGTTGGAAAACTGGCAAAATAATTTTTTTGGAATTGTGCTCGTTTTTGAAAGGGCAAGTGAACAAATTTGAACTGCATGTGTGGGTATGTGGCAAAGGGCAGGTGGGGAAGGTACGCAAATACCTTGCCCATCTTCACAGCACTAATATGCATTCAGTAGGGTCTTTTTTGAGTTATTTTGTTTTTCTTCTAATAAGAGTTTGTGCTAAATTGTTTACCCTGTTCTGACTGGGAAAGCATGCCTTACGCAATGTTTCTGTGTTGCAGTTGTACATGTATCAGCTGTTCCGGAGTTTAGCCTATATCCATTCCTTTGGGATCTGCCACCGGGATATAAAACCACAGAACCTCTTGCTGGACCCTGATACAGCTGTTCTAAAACTCTGCGACTTCGGAAGGTAAGTGCATCTGTGACTTGAAACTTGTTGAAAAGAGCTTCCTTGAACGTGGACCTGGATGCAACTTTGCAAAAAAATCCTGTGTTCCTCAGAAGGTCTTCATTTGTAGTTTTGAAAGAGAAATTATTGATATTCTATTTTCCTCTCAAAATGAATTCATGGGGGCGGGGGGGGAGCTGGAAAAGGATATCAAAAGGGAAGGAATTAAAGTTCAAGCTTGAGGTTTATGCAGGTATTAGAAAAATAAAATAAATTTGCTGTCACATAGGGAAAATACTGTGCCATGGAAAAATACAACCAAATATTAGGGTGAAATGTGTTTGGGGAGGAGAGAACAGGTGCAGTGGCATAGTAACCTAAAAAGGCCAGCATTACACTTTATTAGTCTACTTGTATGTACACCAATTCACTTAATATTTCAAATACTGTAGAGGCTCAAGATAAGAAGCAACACTTCTAATTGAAGCTCTTAGATGGTGGATGTCTGTATCCTAGTGTCCAATGGCACATTTATTTCCAGTATCTGTTCAAGTGAATCACTTTTAGAGTGCAGCCCCCGTCTTAGAACTGATACAGAAATTCTGGGAATCCACACTGAGACAGCAGACAGATTTCTCTGCGGGAAAGTTCAGTCTTTAGATTGTGCTATAATTTTCGAGACTGAAATAGTTTAGGGCATATATGTGAGAGGTCACGGAAGCTGCAGATGCTAAATTCACTTGCCTGTAGTGAGTGGGAATGTCAGATGGTGGGTATTCAAGCAGTGTGTTGTCATGCCTGATGCCTCAGGAATCTCTTCCTTGGCTTCACCTCACCAGTGCTGGAGCAAAATAGGAATCGCATTGAAACTCAAAAGTAACAATGCATAAAAAGGTGGTATGTTCTCTGTGTTAAGAATGGGAATTTGTTAATTGTAGTTTCTATATAGAAAACAGAAATCTGAGACTTTTTAAAACAGGCTAAATGGATAGTGGGAGTCCTTCCCTGAAGGCTGAGAGGAGTGTCTGGAAGGCTGGACGTTGGATTTGGCTGGCTTGCCACTCTGCTGGGTTTGGTGCTGCTTAGGTGAATGTCATATTTCTGAAAGGACAGTTTTGTCTTCCAATTCCTTTCTGTCTAACACTTGGAATTAAGAAAGAAGTAAATATGTTCATAGACTCATATTACAAAAGTAATGTGCTCTCCTGTATCTTTATTTTCTTAGATTCTTCCAAAGGTAGAGGTTGGGGCAGTACTGTGGGTTAGATCCTTTTTGGCTGATCCCTTGCAGTGTAAATGAAGCCTTCATGTTAATCATGGACCACTAACGTCTGACTACAATGGCAAAGTTTTTTTTTCTTTGTCTCATACCCCTTGTGTCTCATACCACATTCCCTTAAACAGCAAAGAGCCAGAATATTCTGATGGAAATTTAAAAAACAAACCAACCCACCCTCAGTTCTGGTGAGTATCCAGAGCTTTTGAACCTTAAAAGGTAACTACATTTGACTGAACCATATTCTGTCCTCTTTTTCTTTGTAAACAAACCTTTGTACCTAGCAAAAGACAACTGCTAGCCAAAAATCTGACCCTATTCATCACCTAGATTGTAGTCAGAATTTCCTTTGCTACGTCCAGTATAACGTAGCTGCTTGATGGATTGGACTGATTTCACAGTAAGTCATTGAGTCTGTGGCTTGCATCAGCTTAGAAGAACGGGGTACTTTAGCATTTAGGAATTAAAGTGCCAAAGCTTAAGGTTGGTCTGCACTGCAGTATTGTAAAACTATTTATTGCTGAAAGATTATTATTTTGTTTCCTTTTCAGTGCAAAACAGCTGGTTCGTGGAGAACCTAATGTCTCATACATCTGCTCTCGGTACTACAGGGCACCAGAGTTGATCTTTGGAGCCACCGATTATACCTCCAGTATAGGTATGTATGTGTATTTGTTGAAATCTATACCAACTCCGTGAGTTTTTATTCTGTAGCTAAGTGTAAAGGTTTCCAGTGTTCTCAGATACAATCCCCAGAGGCAGAATTTTATTGTAAATGGTCAGGTACAACTTCTTAACAAAATATACACATTTTGTAGATGGCTGCTGTGATTTCTATGCCTTTTGAGATTTCAGTGTCAGTTACATTAAGAAAGGGACTTTTTTAATGTACGGAGGGGAAATCTGATTTCAAACAAAAGAATCCACATAATTTTACCATTTAGTTTAAAAGTAGGTATGAGATCTCAAACCAGAAAAGCATTTTGATGATTTAAAATAACTTTAAAGAATAATTGTAGAAATATCAAGTACGGCTTCTGATATACTACTACTTAGACACAGGTAATTCTGTAACTTATTTGCTAGCTTTTAGTGGGAGGGAAAATGTGGCCTAATGATTGGCTTTAAACTCTCTTGACAGTTTTAATATAGTGTACAGCAGTGTCTCTGATTTGACTTATTCTGTTAGCTTTTTCTGCCCTTTAGTCATTAATTTTGAACGTGAAGATGACTTTTTTCTAATACCTGGCACATAGCTGTGTCATGGAAATGTTAGGGAAGCTGGAGTTTCTGGCAGAGGACAGGGAACAACTGGGTTTTCTTACAGTGGAGTCCTAACAATGAACAGCAAAATGAAGAAAAAACCAAAACAAAACCCCCCAAAAAACACACCCCCCACCCCCCCCCAATGAACAGCAATGTGTTGGCTGGTTGTGGGTAACTTCATTTATTTAATTTTTTTTTTTAAGTCAAGATATTCACTGGGCTCCTTCTGAACGCTAGTGCTGAAGCGACAAGATTTGGCTCCCAGGTTCCCCAGTATTGTGCTAAGCTTTTACCTTGCTTATGGACTTGAGTCACTTAGGCAAGGTTTAATATGTTCAAAAGGATTTAGAGATCATGATCAAGTCTTGGCAGAATATGTTTATAACCAGTTAAAGTATGTTTAAAATTAGTATGTTCTAACTAGTGTTAAACTCAATGGCTGGCTGGTTTCAACTCTGCAGTTCTTTCAAAAAAGAAGCGTTCCTGAAGACTTACCTGCTCTTGTTAATTTTTTTTTCCATTAGTTATTCTTCAGTATGTATTGTAGCAACACTTGCATTTATCCCCAGTAGAAAAAAGGGGCAGAACCATACAAAGTCTGGGAAAGGTATTGGCACAATAAAGCTAAAGGGGCAGAACTTACTTGACGGTTGGCCACTGGCAAAAGTGGCAGGCCCAGCCCTACTCTTTCTTGCCGCTGAATACCCTAGCTCTCTGTTTGCTGTTTAATATGCCAATTCAGCTTCAACTGACAAGAGACTTTTGGTTAGGTTAACTTTCTGCTACATTAGTGAGTTGAATCAACATTACTGGGTAGTCCAATAAGCAGCAGAGCTTAAGTAAAAGCAAAGTGGTGGGAGCTTGTGAGTGAGAGGAAGGCGGCTGCTCCCAGTTGACATCTTTTTGCCAGCTGAGAGCTAATAGATTGTCTCAGCTGTGTTACCAGAGTGGACTGAGACAACTTGTTTCAGAGGATAACTGTATAAAATAAGCATTTTAGGTGTCGCCAGAAGAGACTGCTTTATAGATAAGCCTATGAAATGTCTCTTGCTCCAACTGTATAATTACTTTAATCTTGCACTTTTTTCCAGACCCTTTTTAAAGTTGGTCTTTCCATTTTTGTTTTCTTATCTGCTAGTCTCTAAAACAGTTCTAATAAAAATAGCATTCTAAAATGGGGAGTCCATTTTCTACTTGCCAAAAACATAATGAATTTCAGTCATTGTTCAGACTTTCTTGCGCCTCCCAAGCCCCTTCTCTAAAACTTGCACAGAATAACTTGAAAATGAAGTTCAGCAAATACTCCTTCCTTCCTATCCTTTCCTCCCTCCACTTCCTTCTCAACAGAATCTTTGCATTTGAGAGCTGAGAAGTAATAAAATGCTTTTACGAACTTTGCAGTTTCCCAGAGTTCTGCAATATGTAAGAAATTCTAGGGGTTTAGTTTTGTGATGCTGCTGTTTCCAGTGATGGTAAACACCGGGATATTCCTTAGTTCTTACTAGATAGGCAGCAACAGCGTTTAGTGAGAACTCTTCCTTGTTTCACATAGGATTGCTCATCCGAACTCAACCAGCATTACTTGTACACCAACCAACAAGCACAGATAGTTTTCTTAAAAGAGAGGGAGAAGAAGGAACATTTAATTATCAGTACTTTATCCGTAGTTCAAAGTATTGGGAACTGTGAAATGCTTCAGCATTGTAATACTGCATTTTAAACCCTTTTTTTTTTCTTTAAATGTGGACATGCTTGTGTCTTCTAGTTCTTATTTTCTTCTGAATTATTAGCACAACAGCCTTTTCCTGATGTAGAGTCTTTTTCTCTATAGAAGAATCCACTTTTGGGGGTGGGTAACAAAAACTGAGCTTACATGTACGGTAGGGATCTTCACTCTTCTGTTCAAATGCACCGTCTTAAAACGACATTAAAAATAAAATTAGAGAAGAATGTGAAGCCAAAAAGTGTTCTAAATAGAACTTTTTTGTACGTTACGTGCAACACATCCAGCTGTTTTCCTAAGGTTTCTGTTGTTTGCTAATGTTACTGCAGGGCTTCTGATTGTAACACACTGCAGTATGGTAATTATTGGAAGTATTTCTGAGCAAGAATTGCTTTTTAAGCTTAGGCAGTGACACTGTGGTGGCCCAAGACTGACAGTACAGCCATTCAGTAGTTAGTCATCTGGTTAATTAGCACTGTAATCAGGAGTTGCATTAGGCTGTCTGGCTTCATCTAGGTTGTCTTTTAACACAGGAATTTGTCTTTGCAACATTACATACTCTTCAATGTAGTAGAAACTGAAGTTGGTTCCAGAACATGTCTTTTCATCCTGGATGTCACAACAGAACTGTAAACTGGCTTTTAACTTCTAGGATCTTGATTATTTCATCAAAGTGCATAATTTAAATTCTAACCCAAAAGGTCCCTTTAAAAATAACTCACAGCCGGGGGTAGTGCTTGTTGCACTTTACTTGTACTGCATTTGTGCTGTATTTAAATATATACCATAGTAAAAGCAGCATCAAAACACATTTACTGCAGTTAATGCCTCTGTGTGTGTCATCCAGCAGACCTGGGAATATTGTTAAACTAATGACGTGGGAAATGACTTAGTCAAGTTTTTAAATAATCCCTGCTGCCAAATAGTTACAAATCCAGGCCTGTAATAGCTCTGTCGTCTGCCTGTGTTACAACTTTGAGGGGGTTTTTTTCAGTGGTCAGGCACAAGCGTTCATGTCAATTGAGTGCCCTCAGCTTGTACAGTTTGGGCCTTTGTGCACGTTTGACTGTGAATTCTGCAAGTGTGTGCATGTCCCTAGGGCTTGCTGGGGATGGCAAGTAGTTTTGTTCCTGCAGCTGGTTCAGAGGAGGGTTTTTGTGCAAACCAAGCCCTTCAGCTATCCCTTGACAGCGTTTTGGCTGAAGCTTCTTCCTTGCAGGTCTGTGTTTCGCCATCCCAGAGTGGGTTGCTGGCATGCTGCTGGCATGCTGCTGGCTGCTCTGGTCATATGGGTGCTGCTGCCTGCTGAAAAACTGTAGGATGGCTGCCCACATTCCCCTACAGTGCCCTGGGACAAACAGGCGCTGGAGCAGGGGTGGGTGCAGATGTTTCTGTTGCCACATGATCCTCTTATATAAAAAGAAGCTGTGCAGTTAAGCTTTACCTCCAGAACATGCTTTTTTTTTTTAACTAAGTTAGGTGATGGGGCAGTGGAGGGCTCACCAGAACGTGGTGGTGCTTCTGGATAACAAGGGTCTGCTGGTTTTGGCCTGTTTTCTCCATCACTGCGCTTGTGGGAGTTGAGACCGTTCCAGAGGGAACGTTTATAGCCACTGGCAGAGAAAGATTGATCAGCGTGGCTGTATTGCTGATGTCTCTTGGAGTGTCCAAAAATAAGTATCATGAAGTTATTCATTCATTTTCCTAGCGAGCACTAAGACTGAGCGAGAGAGTATTTCACCTCAGCAGTCTGGAGCAGAGGCTCCTCTGGAGGCATGCGTAGTCAGACTCTCAGATTTTCTTGGGGAAGAACCATCACAAGGTGTGTCCCAAACCTGTTGCCAAACAGTGAAAAGTATTTGCCTCTGTGTCTCGGATGGCAACTTCCAATGCTGAAAATAAGCATGTGCGTTAATTTACTGAACTATTCTATCACCTGTCATTGTAGTTTCATCTCTTAATTGCAGAAGAATAGAGATACCCATGTTTAGTTTTTGTTCCAAATACTGGAACAAGTATGGCTTTCCAAGCATTTTCAGGTTTTAGCCTTATTCTGTTTCCACAGTCTGTGGAATCTGTGGTGGCTTGATGTGCAAAACTTGCACCAACATAGCCTGAGGGCCTGTAATCCAGAATTTTGCTCTCATTCTAACATCCCCCAAATTGTTCCAAACAAGCAGTAATAAAAAGCACTTTGGGCTCTGGCATTTGGCAACTATAAGCTGCTGATTTTATGACTTCCTAAGGCTGCTTTTCTAACTCCTGGTTTCTTCCCTGTTAGCTTGTTTCCACAGTTTCCAGAGCAGCAACTTTGAGTCACCTCCGAGATGGAGGAAGTCCATCAAGATAAAGGGTTAGTGAGGCAGAGGCGAATAGATGGCGGGGGGAGGGGGAGCATAGGAAGGTAAATGTGCCCCATAAAGTGTCAGATAAAAAAGTTCTTAATTTGTATCGAATGGATGAAAGCAGGCTGAACTTTGTTCTTTTTTCTTTTTTTCCTTCATGTCCTCCAAATAACAAGTTAGAGGAGCTGGAGCATAATACAATGAATGATGCTCGTGCCGTGAATAAGAGGGCCAGCTTCTCAGTTTGGAAAGGCAGAGTTTAAGATCACAAAAATTAAATTCAGGGACAGGGTGTTCTGTCACAGACAACTGGAAATGGCCATTGCCCACCTGCAGAATTAAAGCTAAAGAGTGTATTTTCCAAGTTGTTCTACTGCATGCCTCTTCATGAACTAAAGAGAGATTTTTCCTTTTCTTACCTTCTTTAATGCTGGAATGGCATTCAAAAGCAAGGTAATTATACAGATGATACTATTAGATAAGTTAATGTTCACCAAGCAACTGTGAAGTAATAGAAACTTAAATTAATCTAAGAAAAGTTTTGTAGTACAAGAGGCTATGTGAATTTTTCTATGCTTAAATTAGTGCAGGTAATTCACATGACAGTGGTATTTGTCTAAGTGTTCTTTAGTCTACAAAAGATATGGCATTAGCTACTATTATAATGTGTGAAAGCTATCTGAAATAAGCTTATTTGAAGGTTGCTTTTGGCTGGCAGCTGCATTTACTGTCCATATTGTTTAGGCTGCATTTCACTGAAGGTATGAAGGAAAGTAGCCTTGCCCGCTTTCTTCTACTTAAAATTAATATCTTTCAGTATTTTCTCCTAAAATTTCACATTGTCCCAACTAGTTTGGCATAAGGATGATTTGTTGACTTGTTTTCTGTTAAGGTTCTCTTTTACCTTGTTTACTCACTAGTTTAAATGTGAATGATAAGTCACATTTTACCTTAATTACATTGCATTTTTAAAAAGAAATAGTTCAGAAAATGCTTCTCCTCTATGGGAGCGGGTAGTTACACTGCAAGCTTGCTCTGAAAGATTATTAACCTATAATAGTTTGCTCTGCCTGTGCTAAGGTAGAAGAGGGTCTGGGAAGGAGCTATCAAAAACTGATATTAACTACCTTACCGCTTCTCTTCAGTAACATGTCTTTAAATATAGAATTTAGTACATTGTTTACTTCAGACTTGAGAAAAATGTTACCATCCAAATTTGGAAGATAAATTTTAAAATACCAGATTCAAAGATATTAAAAGGAAAAAAAGGCAAACTATACCGAAGCCAAATTTTAGTCCTATTAAAGTTGATGGCATAAATTGCATAAAGCTTCAGCAGGGCTGAAATTTCCCAATTTCTTCCTTATTGTACATTGCTCACCAGAGTCACATAAACACCTACGTAAATTGTGTTTTGTTGCCGTCCCTGCTTGGAGCTGCTGAGTTAGCCTCCGCTCTCTGGCTTTCGTTGAGGATGCTTCAAGCATTTGTTCACTTCCTTGCCCAGGGAACTTTGGCCAAGTCCTGATTTGGAAGTTGGTGAAATTACACTCGGGGAAAAAAGTTGAGCATTTTGGAATGCCTCTAGCTTATTTCACTGTGTGTTTAAAACGTTAGCAAGGAAAATCAAGGAAAATGAAATAGGCTTTTAACAAGGCATTAAATCACCCAATTTGGAAGACTTCATGACGAACAACTACATAGGTTTCTGATGGATTAGTTGTATGTTTAATGGATTAAGCCCATCATGAATACAGCAAGTATTCCTCAGACTTCCCCAGCTATTTCCTGATGACCTACATCCTTTCTTTTTCTCCTCTCTCCCCCTGTGATACCCTTAGGTTTCTCATGTACCTTCTGCTGTTTCTGCTTGGTGTTCTTGCTTGGGCAAGGACCTGTGTGTCCTTTCACTTGTTTGAAGCTGCGGTTTGGCAGGGTGGGAGCAAGCCTGGCACATCCCGCAGGCACTGAGCCCTGCTGTTCTCAGCAGCAGCACTGATGCATGCTCTTCCCACTGTTTCTACAAAACTTCTGTAATGGATTCGAGACTTCTGCCTTTCAGACTTATCTGGAATTGGCTGGTGGAGTGCAAAGGCATTTGGGGAGACTGGGAAAGGATAAAACAGCTCAAAGCCAACTTTATGGAGCAGCCAGACCAGAAGGTTATTTTAAAACAGTTTTAAAAAGCCATAGTCTAATTTGAAAAAAATCATGCTAGCATAGTTTTAGAATTTTAAAAGGAAGTGAGTTGTGAATGCTGACTTACTCACATGTCAGCTTTGCATTTGTGTATGTTCTGTCAAATACTTTTCCTTTCTGTATATTGTTTCTTTTTCAGTGCAAAATAAGGATTGAAGTTGTAAATAATTATTATAGCTTTGGGGTGCCACTTGTTTTGTAAGCTTACTGTAAAGGACTCAGCTTTTTAAAATACTTTAAGGTGCCTTTCAATAGACTTTTAAGTTGCAGTACTCTGCTTAGTACATTTAATCTATTTCTTCAATACTTCTAAAGAAATCTGTGCTATCTGTTGAACTGTTGTCTAATTTCCCATAAACCCAGTATGCATGGGATGACATAAAAAGTGAGTCTTTGCATCATCTTTTTGTTGTATGTGTTGATCCAACAGCAGGAGCTATCAGAGAGAGATGTTTAGCACTCGGTTGCAATTAGATGTTCTTCACATGATGCCTCCTTCATTAGTTGTGCGAAAGAGATCTTAGCACCTTGGTGGCCATATCAGCTTGTATTAAATATGACTAAAAGATCCAAAAGCGTAATCTGGTATGTTTGCTGCTTGAAATTCAAGACTCAAAGTTTGGATTATTTCTGGTTGCTGTTTGTATTGTAAATTATTTCTTTTTAGGATAAATCCTGATGCAGTGTTTGTGCTAAGGCTTATGTAAAAATGCATCCATTTGACGTAGAGGTGAATGATTTTGAAAACTGCAGTAATCAGCAATGCTTTTTGTCTACTGTATGTTCCAATTGAACCGTAGCTTTCTTGAAAAGAGGGGGAAGTATTCTTGCATAGCCCCTCTCTCATTTAGAAATGGGGGAAGGAAAAGTCTGTTCTAACTTGCAGATTATTTTGTTATTGATCGTGAATTCCTGAAAGTGTTTTTTTAAATTATTTTTTGCATCAGTCTATAGTGGTTGTGACAAAGTGATAATAGAGTGTTTAGAGAACTGTCAGAGACATTTTCCTTTCACAGACCTTTAGCCATACCTGACAGTATTGTGTGTATCCTGATTACCAATGGCGTAGTTTAAATACACTAGGGGAATAAGGTTCTCTGTCGTAGCATGGGTTATCTCAGGTTGGAACAGGCCTCAGGAGGTAAATTCTCTAGGTTTTGAGTTGTGGTGACGCTATTATTTCGTGGGAGAGGGTTAGCTTGTAAAAGCAGGCAAGAGTTCAAAGGAAGATGGGTGGAGGCTGACTGGTTTTGTTCTTTTTCCTTTTGGGGCATTACAGTATTGTAGGCTTTACAAATCATCCGTTACTGATTGCTTGTTTGAGGTTAGATTTTTTTAGTGTAAGGTTTCAGATATAGATTGAACAAATGATGACTTTTTAGAAAATCTTATGGTCGGTCTATTTTTTTGGAGAAGCAGCTATCTCTGCGTCTAGGTGCTATACTGTTACTGTGTTGAGCAGCTTAAACTTAGGTATTTGGTGTGCAGTTACAGCAGATACAAACATCTGCTATGCAGCATTTACTACATTTGCTTCGTTACATTTTTCATTTGAATTAACTATGTTTCAAAAGTAAAATGCTATATTCTGTAGTACACTTAAATACTACAACAGCAACTTAAGAATGTATTTAATTGTCTTATTTATATGTAAGAAGGCATACCTGTAATAGATTATGAAAACTTTCTTCATGTAGAGGAGTGACTGCTTGTGGCTTTTGGTATATGTTGAAAATTAGTTGGTGACTTCCTCTATGGATGCTGTTGACCTGATCTGTGAATTGCAGTTCTGTTGTCCAGCCAATTTTGCAAATGGAATTGGAATAAAGATTAGATCTCGATGTGACTGAGTTAGAAAGACTGTCTCCCAGATCCCTAAATGATCATGTACTGCAGGATACAGGTAATATGTGCAGTACTGGTTCATATGCTAGTATATATATGCTTTCAATGTATGGATGAAAAATTGAGTCTATTCAACATTCAGAAACAGTAAAAACATCAGCTCTTTTGGTGGATGATACCTACCTATGCGTAGTTCATGATCAATGTGATTTAAAAACAACATAGGTTTTGGGAAATTCTTAATTTTCAGATGGCAAATGTTCTCAAGTCTTTTCCCTACCAATAAAAGTTTTAACGTCAGTATATTATGGCGTTTAACATTCTTTTCCAGTTCTTATTGTCTCATGATTTGACTTCTAAGACTGTCTGCCCACCATTGCTTTCTGCCAGGTATCCGTGTTTTCTAGATTAACATTTAGGAGAGGAATGTTTTTTTTATTTTTAGCTGTGTTTATATATACTATTAAACACTGCAAAGAATAAAGTAGCTTAAAATTGCTGGGTTTTATATAAATGGCCCAATATGTACCTTTTAATGATACCTCTCCCTATCTTCCACTTTCTCCTTTTCAGATGTGTGGTCAGCAGGCTGTGTATTGGCTGAACTGTTACTAGGACAACCAATCTTCCCAGGTGACAGTGGTGTGGATCAGTTGGTGGAAATAATCAAGGTATGGAATTTTAACTGTTGTTCTGACTGTATTATTCTTTGGGAATCAGCATGAAAGCATGCATTGTTACCAACTTGTCATCATATATATTCTGTCGGCGTTTTACAAGGTGTTAGGTCTGTGTTGCAAGTAAACCGTGTTTGAAAACATTTCTTATGCTTTTTTGAGAACCTGATCTTTACTTGCCCCTCTTGCAGTCATGCATAATGATATATCATCTTTTAATTATATAGGGTTTTTTTCCCCTCTTAAAGGATTGCACTTTCAGTGTGCTTGGAAATAGTGCTTACATACTGAGCCAATATTTATTAATGTGTGATTTTTCGCTCTTTAAGAATCTGGCTCTTTTTCCTTTGTTGCATGCAATTAGTATTTGGCTTTGAAAACAGTGTTATTAAATTTCCTCGTGCCAGATTCTTCACATATGTGGCTGCCTTTTCTTCCTTCCTTCCTTCCAGCTCTGAGGTGAAAGGTGAGAAAGGGCAGTCCTTTTTGCAGATGGAGAATCAGGAAATGTAGGGTAAAGGTACCTTCCACCTGAAGAGTCTTGTTTTTCAAGTGAGGAAAAACCTAGTGTTTCAGATTGCATAACATTTATATATCACTTATGTCCAAACACATCTTGATTGATTTCATTTGGTAAGCTGTGAATATTCTGTGATTCTCAAATTAGAGGCATGGAAGAATAATTCATAGCTTAAAAGATTGGTGTCTGACTTCCCAGCACCCTTCAACTTCTGCAATGAAGCAAGCAAGATTTCTAGAGAGAGCAGTGTGTTCTTCCTCTGAATCTATACTATGCACTTAAGATGGGAGTATTACAGAGGCCAAGATGTGTGTACATGCTGTTCAGCTTTATTGATTTCATCACCACAAGGGGACTGTATTAGAGTTTCCTCCTTGGTTTTGCCACTTATACATGCATCAAGGTAGCAGTTATTTGTGTGGCATGCATATGAAAACCCCCTCAAAACCAAAATGTGTGGGTGGAAGAGTAGACCTTTGTACTTGCATCTGTTATTCAGTGGAAGAGCTGCTGATGTCTTTGTCCTTGTCCTACCACTGTATAACACCAACCAGTGCCAAGTGGTCATTCTCCTGCGTGGAGAACATGGGCTGGTGAGGCTCAGTGTTTCTGTGTCTTGGTCTAAGGTCTCAATGGGGTGTGCTCTGACCTTTCTAGACTCTCACCACGACTGTTCCAGCCTTTGACCATGCAAACCTAGCTTCTGTTATAGTGGGTTTCTGTCTGTCCTACTGGAAGTCCTCTAGTCAACAACTTCCCTCTGGAAGCTCCATGTCTTGCACCTATTTCTCCTATGACCTTCTTGATTTCTTATTACTGCCTTTCTTCTCAATGTATTTCAAGCTCAGCATATCCAAGTTGGGTCAGTTTACACAGGAAACACTAGTGGAAAACTAGAGTTGCTGTCAGAAGTAGGGCTGACGATGGCACAAATGACAATTTTTTTTTTTTTCCTTTTGAGAAGTGTCTTCGAGCAGTGCGCTGCTTTCTGCTACACTGCTTTTGAGAGATGTGAAGTAGTCTCTGTGAACACTTCAGATAGTTCATCAGGAGTTTGTGCAATAACTTTTGTTTGCCTTCGGATGTTTTCAGAAAGTCCTGTTTTGTTTCATGGTTAGTGTCCACAATCCTGAGAAACTACATCTAACGATTTTTTTGTAAATACAACTTTATATCAGAGTGACAGTCCTGTAAGTCCTTCCGTGGCTCGATCAGAAATCTGAAAGTAGACAGGCCTTATCAGCAAAACCATACTACTCTGCCTTAGCATTGCTTTGATTTTCACAATGTGGAAGTAAAATAATTAGGAAATGGATGTCCTCTCATCACTGTCATGCTTGCCAAGCAGAGATTGTGGCTTGGCTCAAAGCTTGCTAGAACCTGTTATTATCAGTTGGACACTTTCAGTTCTGCAGTACTGGAAGTAACCATCTGTGAACTAATAATTTTATAGCATGTATGTGCTCCAATTTTTATGGTTCTACTTTGTTTACACATAAGTTGTATTGAAGCAGATAATTACTTTAATAAAATTGCTGATAGCCTATGTACTGTCTGTGGTGTCTTTAATTAACACTACCATGAGTGGTGTGATAACTTTTATTGACCAATTCATAGCTGAATACATAGTACTGGCAAACTAATGTTATTTCTCACAACAGCCAAAGGAGTATCCAGTGTAAAGGCTTGAATTTCAGGAAATTACAGCTTGAGATTTTGATTTTCACCTCCCCAGAAACAAATTTCTGTGTCATTCCTTTAAATGTAGAAAGAGGGATACTGAATGATCGTCCACACCTGTGTTGTGTTGGGGTTTTGTCATCTTCTGTTAGATACGTAGCCCCCTACGTGTAGAAATTAAGTTAAACAAATGTAGGGATAACTCCATTTTATAGTAAGCCTGGTCTCTTCAATTAAAAAGTTACAGTATTGAGACAGTATGTTTTAGGAAAATCTGAGAGAACAGATGCTATAAATCTTAAAGTAGTAGTCACAAAAAAGGATATTCACTGAATTGTTAAGGAAGTATGATGGAAAATGTGAGCCTGAATATGTGGGTGCTGTGAATATTTTTCTGCCTGTATATTTGTTAGTGAGGCTGCATATATTCTCAAGGCAACACTGGAAGAGAAAATGAGTGCAGACTGCAGAAGCGGTCTGTTTTTCAATGCCCTTGTCTACCAAATCTTGTGTTGTGAAGTTTTGTATAAACTGTTGAGAAAAGCCCTGGCAGAAGGTTAAGGTGAGAATACAGAGAGAGTTATAATTGAGAATATTGCATTCAAAATCACAGCCATGAGAAATTGTCTAGGAAAGTACATGAACTGGTCAATGAGGTGCTTCCCTTGTAATGCCATACCGACCAAGTATTTCTCATAATGGGAGTAGAGGGAGAACAGCATGTTTACCTCAAATTTCAAGTAATTTTTCCTCACCTTTTGAGAAAGAGGAAAAAGTAGAAAGTGAGGTCCTCAATTTTTCTGTTCTGCCAACTGTTGGTAGGGATCTGTCCCATCTACTGTGTGTTGCTTAAAAGTGACCAATAATCAAATTGAGCAGATTTGTTCTTCAAATTTGCAAAGCAGTCTTGAAACATTCTGCTCTTCTGCACTCCCGGCATGATTGTTTAAATTTGACTTAGATTTGAAAGGTTAGCATAAAAACTGCAACCTGTGTTTATTGAGCAAGGTTGGGTTCTGCAGCCGCAATACAGTTGAAGACACATACGATTCTGCAGCGTAAAAATTATCAGAAATGTTAAGTCTTGGGCACAACATGTAAAATGTTAGGTTGTGTAAGATCTCGTTTACAATAGGATTAATTTAAAAAAATATTTTTACATATGGTGTCCACCTCTTCCATTTGCTGCCATAGAATACTACTATTTAAAGCTTTCATTGTAACACAGACTTATTTTAATGCTAGCAGGTTGTAGGAGAAGCAGAGCTGTGGGATCTGCCAGTTGTAGAACAGCAATGAACTTTGTAGAAGGTTACAGGTTGGGAGCTGTGAGCTGCTGTTTGACTGTCTTGGAGTCATGCTTTTCAGATAGCTTCCTTGGAACTGTACATCAGAAAATTAGCGGCAGAGAAAATGGAGTATTTTAAACTCCCAGAAAGGGCTATAGTAAAAAAAATATTTATCCACGAATTTGGAAATGCATCTGATGTTCATCACTTAAATTTACTTGATTCCAGTGCAGGAGAGGTCAGCTGGTTCCTATCAGTTCAGGATGACTGAGTCACAGTTGCTTTTATGGCATTTTTTGAGCCAAGATAAATTTTTCAGTTGTCTCTTCAGTTGCTTGCTTGACTTTGATTATTCAGAGTTCATTTCACAACACAGCAATTGGATGCTACACCTGGGTATGAAGTTTTTGCATTAGGCTGGAGAATGACTTCAAAATGCCATCACATTAAACTGGTCCTCCTTTCTCATGCAGTTCTTGATGACATCCCCTCGGTAGCTGTGTTCAGTAAGATAGAATTTCTGTCATGGGTTGGTCATCATGGCTGGTCCTTCCTGTGGGCTGCATGCCCAACATCCTTGGTCCCTTGCTGCATCGGAAGTGTTTTTGGCTTTTGCCAGATCTTGATTCGCTTTCAGCAGTTTTAACGTAGCTTCATTTCAAGCAGTCATGCAAGATCTCCATCCATTTGCAGCTGGAGTTTTTCCAGGCCTATTGCGTATTTGCAAACTGCTCCGAAAAACTCTGCCCATCTAGAACCACTGCATCACATTTGTGTGAATTAAGATAGTCGTCTTCCTTTTAGCTTCTTTTTCTCTTGTTTGTATTTCTTTAAAGACTGTCTTTCCATATGTTCTCAATCTGGCTGAGAGAGAGAGATCTTTGACCACTTACTCCTGACAAAATGATATTTGATATGGGGAAATACTGTCTTGGAGCTCCATCTGAAGAAATAATTTAGCCCAAGTGCATTCTTCTTGAATACTTACACTATTTCAGGAGAGAAATCATGTGCTGTGGTTTTTCCAAAGTTTGATCTTGAATGGTGACTCTTCCTCCTTATTTTTAGCTTTTGCTACCTATTCCAAATGTTAGGTTATCCCATCGCTGGGAATATCTCAAGAGGGTAACCCGATATATTCATTAAAATTCATTCCCCTGCTGGTTTTCGAGTGACATCTCCAGAGGCACGCACAGTTTCTGAAGCAGGCACAGTGGCAGTGTGGTTTCGTCAGTGGTTGCATATAGTCCCATCCCCGATGGAAGGATGAAACTGCTCCTTCCAGCAGCTCAGGAGGGTTGCAGTTGCCACTTCCCTATTTAAAATCCACTGTGCAAGTGGGATACCCCCAAATACAGCTCAAAAGAAGCAGCTCTTAGACCACGAGGGATTTTTTGAGACCCAGTCAGAGCAGACTCCCTAAATCTCTGACCTTGTGCACACAGCTTGCAGTGCAGCAGCAGTATCCGCAGGACTGCCGTGCACC